GATGCATGCCAGGTCAGCTTGCCTTTTTGCGGCTGCTTGGATCGGTAACAGTCATTGGGTTGAGAAGGGAAGGTGGGAATGTTTCCAAGCTTTGCTGGGCTTGCTCTCGCTCCCTCAAATACAGATGCCCACGAGCAAAAGGGATTTCAGGACTCCGGAGCTGCGATTGCGCCAAGGTTCCATAGAGACTTCCAAACCTGCTCCGAAGAAAGCGGAGTCGGCACCCGGACCTTCCGCAACGCGGCAGAAAATGACACGGAAGCCTGAGACAGTTAAATCATGTGTCATTTACAAGTGTGCGATGTTCCTCAAGGGCCCTCTACAGTACCTTGTTCACATCGGCATTTAAAGGAGGGAGAGGCGGGAAGAGGATCTACATGGGTCCAGGAGCAGTCAGCGAGAAATCGAAAAAACTTTTCTAGCCCAATGCCTTGAAACCACATGGCAAGATTCCGCTAATCCCCATTCGCAGACCTCAACCACTAAACCCGGAACTGCAAGCCCGAATCCAGAAAGACTTCAACTTTCAAACCGAAGAATACGAGCAATACTAGTCTTAGTAGAAGCAATGTTCGCCACATTCTTCCCCAATGTTCGCGAATTGAGGTTTCAGAAATGTCTAGACCCCACACCCGAAGTCTTGCAGATCTTCTGGGCGGATCTCGCTGCGGACGACACTTCCTCCGACGAGGAAGAGGAGAGGGCTTCTTGCTGTTGCTTTCAGCGGGGGTCACAAGTACCCCTACATCAAACTACATCAAAAGTTGGGTGCCACTATGTCTCCTCGGCTTCCTTCTTTCAGCGATACCCAGAGATTCCAGAATCTTTCTTTGAAGGGAATGCCAACATTTGTTGGTGCATTTTGATATGAATTTGGACAGTGTCCCTTTACGCTCCCCAGAGCTGACAAGTGTTTCCACCCGTTTAAAGTTGAAGTTGTGAGTTTGAGAGCTGAGTTGCTAGCTAGTAGCCAGTTTTGTGGCCGTTGTGGTATATTCCGACCGTAATTAAACGGCTAGCCTGTTGAAGCTTTTCGGGGGCCCACGAACTTCATAACTGAAATAGTCTCAAACTCTTGACAACAGACTCCAGCTGGAAGGCAGGGGTGCGCACATGCAGCCAAACCAGGAAGCAATCTGCCAGTTTCAATCAACGACCGTCATCAGCAGCCCCACAATCATCATCCGCAGTACCACAACATTGGCCATCAGGTTTTGCTCACATACGAATGAACTTGCCGTTGCTTTTCTGACTAACTCTCCTCAATGCTGGCTTGTCTCGAGCAAACTGCAAAGAAGTCTCCGATATCGCACCAGTTATACCTGCGTGTGGTTGCGGAGCTGCCGTGGTTACTCTGTTTGGTTTGCTTGGTAGCGACATCATCAGAATGAATAACATATAATAACCATAACCATCCTCATGGTTGGGTGCCACCAGGCCTCTGACCTCGGCCATGATGGCCAGTCTGGCTGTATGAGACGTGTCTAGTGTCTATAGTGACTTTTCTTTGTTGATATAGCTGGCTAGGGTTTAACGGTTAGGATTGGTAATAGGCCATAAGGTACAGGTGTCGAGCATGGCAGAACCCTTTGTTTGCATTGAGTTGAAGGAGTCTAATTCTTCGGCATTTAGTTTGGAGCTTTTGCGGAGGTTTAAGGCTTTGGGGTTTTAGGGTTTAGGTTTTAGAATTTAGAGATTTGGGTTTCAGCGTTTTTGGGGTGGGGTTTAGGGGTTTACGGTTACAGGTTTAAGCTTGTCTGTTGGGTTTCGGGTTTAATTTGAACTGCCGAGAATTTCGAGGTTCAGGGCTTGTCTTGATCATTTCTCTGCCGTGCGCGGCTGTGAGTGTAAGAGCGCAGAGAACACGTCGAGATGCGACAGGAGCCCTGCGGAAAGAACAGTGTTTGGGGTTTAGTGATATTTAGGGTTCCTACGACCCCGGAATCTAATTCTAAATGCCGAAGACATAAAGTCTAAGAGAACTCTAGAGCCCTGCCATTGCGGAGGAAGGAGAGTTCGGTGGGTCCGCGTTGCATCAAGCTGCCCTGGTGTGCCTTGTCGTGGCTTTCAGGCCTGCATCGCAAGAGCTTCAGAGCTCAGCTAGCAAATCTTTTAAGTTGTGGCCCTGCCGTCCTCGCGTTTTCAAGGTGATTCGCGTGCTTCCATTTCACTGCTTGAATGGAGATCCCTGAGCTCTCTTGCACATCCGAAATGTTCAGGAAAATCTAAACGTTAAACTAAAGTCGAATCGTTGTCGAAGGTGGATCAACTGGACCCTGAAGCTTGGAAACTCTCTGACAGAGGTCGTCCTTGAGCCAAGTCCTCGCGCTTTTGCGACGTGGTGCCAAAGTCAATCGCTGCGCTTCGCGGCTGCAATGCCTGCGTGCTCCACGCAGCGACGACCCAAACCCAAGACCCATTAACAATGTTCACCCCGACCTATTCGCCTGGGAAGTCCGAGCTGTGAATGTAAACCCTTCGGCCCAAAGTCCTCAGCCCTAAACACAGACCCTCAATTATGGGGTCTTGCTCTTCAAAGGCTGCATAGCTCCTCTATAGAGGAAGAGCCCGTATACTGTCCTGAAAGATATAGTTATAGATACATACACACATACACATATATACAGATGTACATGTATATGCTCATACATATATAAACTAAATGTACAAACATAATACAAAAACACATATAAACATTTACAGAAATATACATATATACAACTGTACATATGTAATGTATGTAGGTATGTACGTATGTATGTGTGTATGTATGCATACATATGTACATTTTCAGTGTTTTACGGGAGACTCCTTCGACTTCTTCTTCATGCTGTTTGGGAGTATAAATGGAAACCAGCAGCAAGGATTACCATCAGGGTCCTGAACCTCGGGCACCCACGCATAGAGCTGCACTCGACTGTAGAGCGATTTCTTGTGTTAGGTTGTTGATTTCTGAAGTTGACATTTTCTCTTCGGTAACTCAGGCCGAGGAGAAGGGACACCGAGGCCATAAGTGCGCTACACATGCTCTGAAGTCCACCGGAAGAACCCACACTATGTGTCACTGAACATACTTTGGCTGCCTTCTGCATCCTTGGCATCCAAAAACATGTCATCCAACATGCTTCATCTTGTTGCTCCGGCGGTAGCCACGATGCAGCCATAGGGCAGGAGATTTGCTACCTGCCAAGTTCTGCTCTCCCGGCACCCATCGCAACCTGCCCTGCGAAAAGCTTCGTTGAGACCCGAGCCGCATGTATGGGCCGACAGCTTGATGGTTTAAGGATCCGTTTCGTGAGACCGCCCTGCACATGGCTGCGCGTGCATCCGGACTGGAAATGACTGGAAGGGATTGAGATGGCTTAGGATTTGGGAAGCCGGAACGGCCTCGGACATAAAGTGTGCCTGGCATTAGAATAGTATCTTACTGCATATCGGCTTACTTGGTCAAGCTGCTGTCTGCGGTGTGTTGCCAAATTAGCCTCCAATCACTAGTTCCATATGGTTTCGGGACTCGAGACCCAGTCGTCCAGGCTAGAGATCGGGATGAAACTCGCACATGTAAGAACTATGGCCCCATGTCTTGGAATGTTTCTGCATGCATTCAGTCCAGCCGAGACAGTAGCACAGTCGGGATTGTTGAGGCTTTTTTGGCCGGAAGATTAGTCTGTTCTCGGGCAGAAGAAGTGTGGGCCAAGGTGTCACGATGCTACTAGTTGAGAGCCTATTGTTACGTCTGCCGGTTACCTGTTGATAGCACATTTCCCACCGGAAGGGGCTGTAGCATTAAGAATTGCCGAGTTTTTGTCTCACTGCTTCTGAGCTTGAACTCACATCCAAGAAGTCATACATAGCCTCACCCTTTTTCAGAAGTTCAAGAGGCTTCTGAAGGCTGAGCCTGTGGGCTCTAGCTGCTTTTTGCCCAGGTTGGCAGTCTGGAAATTTGCGCGGCGCTGTGTGCTGCACGCGCGGATCCCACCGTGCGCAACAAGGTGTGTGTTGGGCTGCTGGGTTGTGGGTTTAGAGTTTAAGGGGAGTCTAGGATGCAGTTATGAAGAAACGAGGTTTGGTAATGCTTTTGAGATCCTCCTGTGGTATGATACATTTCAATGACGAAGCATGCAGTCAAGTGCCGCCCCACCCACAGCAGACAGGGCCTGAAAAGTTTGGTCTTTGCGGCCTTTGCGGAGCATTTTCTGGTCCCATGTTGAGGGTGCTGTGATACATCAGGACAACAACTCAGCCCTGGACGTGGCCAACTTCTCGCAACAACAGAACATCTGCCATCTGCTGCAGGACTCTTGGTTGAGGGTTTAGGAGTTGATTGAGGCTTACTTGCATCCGGGTTCGAAGGCTTACTCGTACCCCAAACCCAGAAGCTTTCAATCCCTGCGCCCTAAACCCTGTAAACCCCGAATTCACGGGGCGGGGGGCGGGCGACGCTGCAGTTTTGCCGACTTCTCTGAGGGCTTCCCAACTCCAGACGGCGGTTCGAGCCAAGGAGGCTACGGTTCAGAGCTGACGGTAGGGTGTCGGGTGCAACACCAGGCTTTTGCACCCTCAACATCTTCGTAGATCCGTAGACTTTGTCTGAATGCTTCGGGTGTGGAAGGTTTCACCATGTTATCTTCTAGCAACTCTATCGCACGAGAGACTCGGCGTTGAGAAGTTCACCCCCATGTATGCAGAATAGCCAAAATAGTAGTGACTTCAAGCAACAGTCCCCCAAAGCCAGCCCTGTGCCTACTGTTGGTTTGAATTGTGCGCAGGTTACAGTTTTCCCAACTCGACCAACCCGATCAACAACCTTGCGCTGCTCACACCCTGATGTCTGTGTTTGATTGGCATTGCGGACCAGCAGTGGAAACCTTGATTAATGTTTGCAGAAAAATCGACCCTTTACTTGCCTGCCGCAATGACATGCAGGCTTGTTCATGAAGGCCTAAACCCCAAGATCCGATACATGTGCTAGGAGCCGTCTGTGTCAGGACTTGAGCTGAAATGCTGTCGTTTGCCAGAACGGCAGTGCCGACAAGTATGGACTCCTGAAGTTGACACAAGCCCAACTTCGGCTTCAACATAGCTCTTCCTCTTGTGATAGATCCCAAGTCGTGGGGTCAAAGGCAGGCAATGAAACCTGCGCAACAAAAGCACCAAATTAGCTGCGGATGCAGTTGTTCGCTGAGTGGTGATGGTGCTTTCCAAGCTGAACCCGCGCCCGCTGAAATGTCGCTGACCGTATATTAGAAAACATGCTGTGCCGAACAACCCCCAACCCCGGAAAGTCTTCGTTCTTGAATCTTTGGAGAGCCAACACCTCCCTGTCTCGAGATGACAATCTTGAAGGCCACGGGACATGCAAAACACGAATGTAAAGGCAGTGATGGCGCCCGAACCCTCACCTTCGATAACCTTGGACTTTAAGCCTTTACGTCCCGAACATGGCAAGCCAAGGAGCAAGCTCCTAGCCTAAAGGCTAGTAGAGCGATCTCGTGGCCTTATGGCATAGTCTGACTGTGGGAGAAAACAGCATTGCAGGGTGAACAGAATATGGGACCCTAAATAGTAGGATCTTTATGATAAGCACCTCTAAATAGAGGACTCCCATGTCTTACAGAACGTTCCTGTAGCTCTAAGAGCTTCTCGAGTTCTTACATCGTTTTCTGTGTGGCCGTTGCCACGCCAGTTCCTGTATAGCCAAGTTGATCTTGTATATCGGGGTTTTCAGCAAGCGGCACGTCACAACAGTTTTTTGTAATTGCCAGGTACCATTCAGGGGCAGGTTAAGTAACTTTGTTGATCAACCTGATGACGCGGGGCAGATTTTTCCGCTGGCTGTCGCCAAATGGCGAAGGTGCAAAAAGCGATCCAGCCGCCTGCTGCTGCTCGAGTGCATGCATCCTGTCCCCAACACTGTTGTCGAAGTGTTTTGACATTTGAGGAGGCTGTATGTACCAATGGATGTCGGCTCAAGGTGCAAAGTGCAAAGGGGGAGTTTCAGGATGGCATTATGATCATTGCATCTCATGTGTCTGCAGCGCTGGCCGTGAGCGACTTGGCATCCGCACGGCCCGGGCGATGACGCCGGTTGAGCTACCCGCTCACAGATCCTTGGCAGCAGGAAGTCTCCCTTTGTGCACAGTTCCGGCAGGGTTCAGATTTCAAACTGCTGCCTCTGTCTTTCGTTTCGGACCCTGCCAGAATGTCTCGCCAAGAATGTTGCTACGGTAATGTCTGACGGCTAAATTTACCGAACGCATCCATGCCGAATGCTGACTATGTGCGCTGGGTCTTGATGGATGGCAGATCCGCCAAGATATGCGCGAGAGAGAGCGATAGCAACGACAACAATGTGAGAACAACAGAAACGGAACTCGAGACAAGCAAGGCATTCTGGATCTGCATGATTCGTCTCTGGCCACGGCAGCGATCACAGGGAAGGCGAAAAAATCCGTTTTGCACGTAACCCTAAACCAACACTTGCAGCCGGCGAGACTCCACCCGTAATGCAGCAACGGAACCACCTCAACCCTCTGGCTCCTACTTGCCCCGTTCACCCTCACTCCCGTGCTGTCGGCTTCGAAACGACGAAGGCCTCAAACAACAAACCCTGAACGCCACAAAACCCTGACATTTTATCCGAAATCCTTCAACTTCAAGGTTCGGGGTTACAGGCAAAGGTTACTTACTAAATGCTACCAAACTTGTTTTTTTAAAAGCAAGTAGCCCAGCTGGTCAGTACAGCAGCTTGAACTTCCCAAAGCTGCCAGGAGGATTCTGCGGGCGCTGAGGCGGCGATCGCTTTCCGGAGGTGCCGGAGCCGCGAAGCCGGGAAGCCCAGGCAGCAATCTGTTCTACCAACTCGATGCTTTGCCATTTGCACCTTGGCGGCCTGAGCGGTGCGCGTGCTCCAGAAGCAATCAGTTTCAGAGACGGGCAGTCGGGCGGTCACCAGTAGTCGTACACGAAGGTTTTGTGGTCTGACATGGTCTGACAGGCGGTTTGGGATCTTGTTGAAGGGTCTGAGGCACTCGTGACGCTCGAAAGCTTGATGCCCCCGATCGCGGAGGCTTCTGAGGGTCTGGGGTGCTGTCGAAGAGGTTTGGAGATAGTCGTGTCACCTTGACCCCTTCGTGGGCAGTCGACACTCACTTATTGGAATATGTTGAGAGTTTGACCGTGGGTATTGTGTATGTGGTCGGTCGGAGAAAACTGTCCTGGCTGTTCTGTGCATGTAAAAATTAGTCAAAACAGGCAATCTTGCCAAGCTGATCGCGTTTGTGGTCGGTCGGAGAGAACTGTCCTGGGTGATTTGTGCATGCAGCAAGTGGTCAATGCAATCGACGGTCACTGCTGCAAATGTTGCCAAGTTGATTGTGTGTGGCCGGTCGGAGAAAGCTGTCCTGGGTGTTCGGTGCCTTTCAGGAAGTAGTCGAAGCAGTCGACGGTCTCTGTTGGAATCAATTGTTGCGAGTTTGGTAATTTGGTAGTGTTTGTAATCGGTCGGAGAAAACTGTCCTGGGTGTTCGGTGTCTTTCAGGAATACTGTTGGAGTTGTTGCCAGCTGCGCGACGCCCGAACAGCCACTGCCATCTCCAACCCAAGAAGAAGCCGCTGCACCCGACGACGGATGTGGAGCCTCCCGACTCCCGACGGGTGGGGAACGATCAAACCATGCAACTTACCCTAAAGCCCTAATCTATGCTGGGAGCAGACCTGTCAAGATCGCGGACCTTCACGTCCATTCTCGGAGAAGGGGGGGAACTCCATCTAACTCGCCTCCACCGAGTAGATACTCAATCGAAGCCTCGGCTGAAGAATCGGAGAACTTGACTTTGATTGCTATTGCGATTACTATTGTTATTGCTATTGCTCTTCTGCGGACTAATATTTTCATTATTCTTATTGTTAATATTGTTTGTTATGGTTCTTATTAGTAGTATTGTTATTACCGTTCGCGTGGGGGCTTCTGTTGGCTTCCAAGCTGACATCTGTTGCAGCAATGGAAGTCGACGATCATGGGCGCTTTCGACTTCGTTCGAAGGCTTTCGAGCACCAGGAAGGCAGCAGCACTGGCTCGGCTGATTATAAAAAATTCGGCTTGTACGATGCAGGAGGACAAGTCGAGGTCTTTGCACCACTTATTCTCATCACGTTTTCTGGGTTACTTGTTTGGTAAGAGAAAACAAGTATAACTACTAACTACGTCCATGTTTTGTAAGTTGGTTCGGCACGGTGTGTTCAGTTCGTGTGTCTGTGCGTTTTGCTTATTGCTACGTGGCCATTTCTATCGTGTGCATCGGTTTTGCGAGGAATCTCATACGATTCTCGTTAGGGTCGTCTTGGTATTGATCTACCGTTATGTTTGACAGTTATTTGGCTCCTGCTGCTCTCATTTTGTGCAATTGCTGCTAGGCCTGCTGTGAGCCGGATGACATGAGCACATGTCGTCGACACGGCAATCAGCGAACCGTAACGAGTTCCTGCTGATGCCTTTGAGGTCTGGAGGGCCTGCTGAGCATGCTCAATGACGTTTGGCCCGTGATCCAACAGGCAAGTTTGAGTCGGGTCAGACTTCAGACATGCGCTCCTGCAAATGTAGCTTGGGATTCGAGATCGACGCGTTTGGGGCTTTCAGCCTGGCAAGAGCACCGCTTTCATTGTCAACGGCGGTGAAGCGGTCGTAGCTCAATCCTTCAGCAGCTGAACCCTAAAGCAGTTTATGGCGATCTCGAGGATGAAAGGAGGGATATCAGGAATAATCTGGCTATTCCTCAGCGCCTGAACGTACTCAGACTCCAGGACCCGGAACTTTTCTCGTCATCTGATCTGATGCCGTAGTTGGCCTTTCAATTTTCCTTAGGACTCCGTTTCTGATCTCGCCGTGACGTTTAAGAAGATGTCGAGCTGCGGCCGACAAGCCCATATGAAGTCATCCATGCATTTGCATTACGTCGAAAGTTTGGAGTGACCAGAAGGAGCGGGAATGGGTGACAGTGCGGTAGTAGGAATGCAAAACTGAATTTTATCGATACACGCGCAGGCAGCCAGAAAGACGCACAGCAAATGAGCAACCAAAGTAGTTATATGCTTATACTACGTATGACACCGAGACCGACAGGCCATGGGCTTGCTTGCAAATACGTGCTCTAAAGTAGGGCTGGCAATTTCGAGCATGAGCAGGATAAGAACACCTGAAGCCATAACCTTGTGCTTCTCGCACGTGAGTTTTCGCAGTTCCAGGCCAGGGCTTTGTTTTCGTAGAAGCCAGGTCTGCAATTTTTGTGTTGCGTCTTACTGTGGCACTGTAGATACTTCTTACCTGCAGCCTGTTTTCGTAGATCCCTTGAACCGTTAAGCCCTGAAGCCGACAAGCGTAAAACCCTAAACCGGACTGACGTTCGCAGAGCTTTCCTTCCTTCAATTGAAATCTTAGGGTTTACAGGGTTCACGGGCAACGGTTTCGCAGCGCTGTCAGTTCCTTCGGTACCGGGCCCCTGCGCCCATCCTTGACCAGGCTGCCTTTCACGAAGACGGAGAAGTTGTCCTCGGCGTCATCCCCCCAGCTGCCATCTCTTGGAGGATTTGGTGCAGTTTTCTTTGCTATTCTGAATTCTGTGAGATTCAGGACACGAATCGCTTGGACTATGCCGCCCTCATTGCTTGGGAGCAGGAGCCGTTGACAGTTGCGTCGTTGTCGAGGGCGGCCTTGTTGTCGAATTGTGATCCCACTCCCCCGAGCATGCGCGGCGGAGCTTCTGGTCGCTGTACGGTGTTATGGGCTGTGCGGGCTTGCAATCCTTGTGCAACGAAGCTTCTCTTGCCGTGAGGAATAGCGGCTAGCCCCTCATGCATGGACTGTAGACAATCATCAAGCTCCCAAGTGGGAACCTGAAGTTTCAGCACCTTCTTGAAGTCAAGCTGTTGCTTGCTGGCAGGCACGTACCGCATAGTTTTGGTGCCTTTCGTAGAGTCCTTATGAAATGCCCTTCCAACCTGC